ACTACGTAATTGCAGTGGATCTCATAGAACGTCGCCTGATTCGCCAACCAAACAACCGCTGCTAAAGACCGATACGCTGATGAATTCAGGATCTCATCGGAGTACACCTCGCTCACCGCCTCCCACTATTCTCCTCAGGTAGATTTCTTTGAAGCATATGTCATTTATTTGAAGAACTAAGAATCAGTTTCGGTTTCAAAGATCGCACTTTGAAGTTGATTATTTGCTTTGTCTCACTGTGATTTACATTGACATGTGAAAGACAATCTTTTTGCACTTGGCTGAGAGCTAGGAAGCCCAATTCAGGCTCTTTTTCCTACTGTTGCACTGATGAGGACACGACCACGCTGGACATAGATCAATGCCAAATTTGGCCTAAGCGGGCCGAGATTGCTTCGCTTTATCCTCTTAAACGGTCCTCCCGCAGAATGGCAGCGCATGCCACCGATGGTAGCCTAACGAGTGACATTTAAGAAATGAAATCAAGCAGACCGAAAATTGGGTCTAAAAAAACGAGGCCTAAGCATGGACACAAAGCGGATAGGACGGGCGAGGAAGGAAGACTTCCTGATTCGGATTACTAGTTTCCATTGATTGCAGAATCGGAGGTAAGGGCCTTGTGAAAAAAAAAGACGTTCGAGCACTTCTTCAAATGACTAATGACCTGTGCGCTCCTCGGGGACGAATTACTGCAAATGTTACATGTATGTCGAATGGACAAACACATATATCAGAAAGGCCTGCGCAAAGGCATTCTTTAACATAAGCCATTAGAGAGAGAGACAGAACAATCTTTTTGCACTTATCCAGGAAACCCAATCTGGGCACTTTCTCCTACTGTTTGGGTCTAGTTTTTTGGACGAATAAAAATGGCAATTGGAAAATGAATGAAACAATGCGTTCCAAACAATAATGTTCTTTGAGAATTGCTTTCTTTTAGCATATGACGAAAAAAAAAAAAAAGAAAACAAAGAAATCCATGTTTAAACATAAGCCTTCATATCAAACATCGCTGGTTATTTGAGCCCAGCTGGCAGATTTAACTTGGGAACAAATAATCATTTATGGATCCGACTCCCCAAAGTTTAGAAACATTTCTAGAAATCTGATTTAGCATGAGCATAGGGCAAAGCCACTTTCAATGCCTAATCTTTGTAACACTAAGCTACATCTTTCATTTGCATCTACATATTCTCCGGAACAACGGAAATGGGGTGGACGGGGTGGAGTGCG